GGGTTTAGGGTTTAGGGTACTATCCGCGAGCAGCGTGCGCTAGCACCAACGCTGCGGGGCAGGCTGGCATATCTTTGAGAACAGAAGAACTGCATTTCATGCTGCTTGCCAGGCATTGCGGGCACTGACAGGCTCGTCGGCGACATCGGTGAGGTCGTCTGGAAGGCCCGGGCGGGCGAGCATAGGATTGACCCGCGCGGCCGACGGCGGCGCCCCTCAACCGAGGGCCCTGCAGCCTCTCGCTGCCCTTGAGGAACCCAGCCGCGAATCGCTGCTGCAAGTGTCGCAGCACCTTCGTCACGCCGAGGCTGCGATGCTGCCCGAGCACGCTGATGATATACTCAGTATACGTAATTGCCTGCATCGGTGTTTATCCGCTTCTCCGTCTCTAAAGGTCTGCCCGTCGGGCTGGCGCGTTAACCTCTTTTCAGTCTTCCAGAGGCAAGGCATCCTTGCATGCTGTAAGGAACTCTCTTCTTCGATATCGGGCCCCCGAAAATCCTCAAACTTGCCAAGATAGACCACAAAAGGCCAAGAAGTTTGAACTAATCCCGTTGACTGTCCAAGTCCAGGGGGGCCAGCCAAAAGGGATGACAAAGGTGGAACGGGTATAGGGTTTGGGGTAAAACTTGAACTCGAAAATTCTGCATAAGGCTACGCCCTGCCAGAATCACGAGCCGCTGTAAGGCACTGTGCAATAAACCTGAATCCCTAACTACCCCCCCCCCCCCCCCCACCAACCCCATGAAACAAACAGTTCCACTGTGAGGAAATCATCAGACCATAAGATAAAAGAATCCACAAGTGCTAGCGTGCTAGCAGAATACAGAAAGTGCTAAGGCTGGGTCTCTGAGTGCAGAGAAAACCTTACAACAGCCTTCAATTAGCCCTTCTAAAACGAACAAAGCCTGCACACTAACTCCCCATTCTGCCAACTGCACCTCGGTGTGCCAGGAAGCGAAGCACCTGAGTTCAGGGTTTTCTGCGCGTGCGTCGAACTTAATGATGAGTTGTTCCGGGGTTGGGTCTGCACGATTGCGATGGTGGTGGTGATGTTGAACGACTCGGTAGAGTATACCGATGGCCATGAAGACCGGGACGAGGATTATGAACAACTTGATCATGACCTCTACATGTCTGTAGTGACGAGGATGAGAACCGGTGATTAGTGTGGCGGCATTGTTTGCATCCCGTGCTGCTGCCGATATTCAAGTACTTGGTCCTGCCAATGTTGCAGATGGTGCTACTAGCTCTGCCGTTGCTCGGGAAGGGGGCATCACCAGAATGACGGTGATGCGACGGCGATGAGGAAATGAGTGGAATGTGGAGGAGAAGGAGGCGGAGGAGCAAAACCAAACACAAAAGCCCTGAACTCAGAAACGAGGAAGCATGGTACAATCCCTCAATACCCGATCAAAGGAGATACCCACAGCTTTCAACCGACTAATTAACCTCATAAGACTCCAAGCCCCCACCCGGAGAAGGCCTCAAATCCTGAATCGCAAATGGCCCTACAAAGGACACAACTTAATATAGGGGCCTTAGTAATTACCTATACTACTATTTTGGGGGTTCCTCATTATATCTATAGTAAACAGGGCCCCAAAACCCTGTTCTAATCATCAAGGCCCCTACATTACACAACCCTGCGCCATTTCCTGGGATTCGGGCATCCGCATCCAGGTCTCTGAGACAAAGGAGAGCAAGGAAGTGGTCACCTGGCTCTGCAGGGTTTGGGGATTAGGGTTTAGGGTATCGGGGATTACCTGTGACCCCAAACCCTATAAAATAGTAGGCTATGACCCCTTAAGTAGAGGGTAGAACCCTTCAAACGGTAGGTTTTTGGATCCCCAGGTAGGGTATTGGGGATTAAGCTGCAGGTTGATTTAAGAAGGCGTCTGAAATTGCATTGGGAGAACTGCGTTGCGTTGTGCGACGCAGCCTTCCCCATCCGAAGCCTAACCTGGGCTTGGAAAGTATAGTGTGGGTTACGGTTTCGGGTTAAGGGTTCAGGGTTTAGGGTGTGGGATTCAGGGTTTCGCATCTAGGGCTTATGGGTTTGTCTTTGCTATATATACACTCGCATTCCTTGCAATGTGGTGGAACCGGATCGTAGCCGCATTCGATGCTAGAAGTCTGGAATCGGCTGCACTGCACAATCTAATATCCGAGCTAGAAACTGATTGAACAGTGCAGTACGCAAACTTTCTTCAATTCAATCGCACGAAGGTAGGGTAATATTGTCATCAGAATGACTAGGAGCATTATTCCCAAGGGTTCCTTATCATATATGCTTTCGGATATATACCACATAACCTCATTGAGCTTGTTAAGGCCCCTGTACTGTCCACTGTGTCCAATTTGGAGTTGTGCACTTCAGGTGTCTGAGCTTCTGGTAGTCCATTCTGGCAACAAGGTTCGGGATAGACCCCTGAAACCTAAACCGTGGCCCTAACCCTAAATCCTCACCTTGCCTTCCGAGGTGTAAGGCCCTCTTCACTTTTGTTCTTTTGTGCCAGGATGCAGTCAAAGTACACCCATCAACTGCAGCAGGTGCATTTAAAGTACACCATCAGCATGGTGGATGATTTCCTGAGCTGCCTCCGAGACTCGAGTGAGAGTTTCTCGAATTCTGAGCCCGAGTTCTCACTCGACACACAGAGTTATATCACACACGTGTACCCTAAACCCTAAACCCCAAACCCTAAACCCTGAACCCTAACACGGCAGCTCGGGATCTTCACAGACCTGCTACGGTCTATGCATGACAAGATGATTTTGCTCGGGATTCCTTACAGTGGCTTATACCTCAAACCTCTGCCATAGTATCTCCTCCAAGCCTTAAGCCCTATTCTAATGGTCAAGGCTCCTAGACGAAGCCCAAAGGGAACCCTTTTCAGAGGAATGCTTGATGAAAAGGGACCCTATGTGACTCCCTGCCCTGCTTCTGTTAAAATTATAGTATGAAGGGCCCCAAAACCCTATTCTAATTAGTAAGGCCCCTTTATTAAACCCTAGACGGTTTAAGTTTAGGGTCAACCTGTAGGGGTCTAGGGTTGAGGGCTTTGGATGTATGCTGGTTTGGAAAAAACCCTTCGAACCATGAAGAGAAACCCATTTATACCACAAGGTATATGAACCGTTTGAGGGTGTTTGGGTGTTTTGAGTGCATATAACTCTTCGGATAAGCCCCGGCCCCTGAAACCCTGAAACCCTAAACCCCAAAACCCTAAACCTCGCAAACCCTAAAACCCTCAAACCCTAAACGGTTGGTCCACACTGTGTCTATCTGAGGCAACCTCCTCGGCCCTTTAATCGCAAACTGTAGCCCGCTCGAGCCAAGTAGCCGTCTAAAGCACCTACGATTCAGGATGACTTAGTCCAAGACCACCTCACTTACTAAACCCGAACTCAACCCTAAACCCTAAACAGAACCTCAGCATTGCATGTTCCGGGACAGTTTCTGGAAACTCTCACCGTCACCATTGGCGCATTTGCGCCACGGACGCTCCAGGTGGCGGCTATGCGGGACGGAGGGACTTCGCTTTAGGTTTCAAGTAGGGTTTACTATCTACGGTTTAGGGCATTGGGTTTAGCTTTTTCAAGTTCGGGGGCTCCAGGGCCGTCACAGCTCCGTCCAAACTACCGCTAACTTCAATATGTTGGCTGGCTCTGAACGCGACGGCGGCTGGTTCACCTCTTCCTCGCTTTTTAACGTCCACATCAACTTTGTAATGGAGATGTTTTCATGGCCAGGCCCGGACACGCCACTTGGCAGCACGGTTTGTACCATGAACACGGCCATGTTCACCCTGGTTCATACACTTGTTCTAGCTATGAGTGTGCCGGACAAGCGCTTTCCTATGCAGGCGCCTTGCAGCTACAGCTATCCTTCTTCAGTTCGGATTTCCCTCTTTGTGCCGGTCTTGCAGTTCTTCTGGTGCATGTTCACGATGTCCACCTGGGCGGCGCGCTTGCAAAGAAGTGTCTTCGGGTAGCAGAAGGACGGCAACGGAACCGCCATTAGTCGGAGTCTTTTTTGGGCTAAGGGTTCGGCTAGTTGGACTTCACTAGGCGGAATGTCAACATGAACAGGCAGGTGCTAGGCTGAGCTCTCTGCCACTAGATCCGATGAACGGCTTCAAGGTTACGTTGGAAGTAAGACCGGGGCTTTAATCATGATGTCAGGGTTTCGAGGTATATTGCAGATTCCTAGGGCCCCTCTATTACTTGCTACCTTCAAGGTATACATGGGTAGTTGTCTAAAATTGGGGTCACTTTTTAGGTTCCCAACATAACACGGCACCCCTATTAAGAAAGACCCTCATTGAGCGAACTACCCATGTATTGTTGTGGGCTTCGGCTTTGTTGTCCGCGGGTGATTGTGTGCGATTCCGAAACCACCTAAGCCTAAGCCCGCAACTAGAGACCCCCCAAAACCCCGAAATCGGAGACCCCTGCACCCCTAAACCCAAAGCCTTTAAACCCTAGACCCCAAACCCTAAAACGCTGAACCCTAAACCCCTAAACCCCTAAACCCTAAACCCCTATAAATCCTAAACCCCTAAACCCTATAACCTCTCAACCCTATAAACCCCATAAGCCCTGGAAGCCAAATCTGAGAACTGAAAGGCTCCACGGTTTCAGGTATGGGGCTTCCTCGTTGGGCTCTTGCCCTGCATCCTCGTTTACAGGCTCCGAACCGCTATACATAATTAGGGCTTAGGGCTTAGGGCTTAGGGCTTGTAGGGTTTAGGGTTTAGGGCTTAGTTTAGGGTTTAGGGCTTTAGGGGTTTAGGTTTTAGGTTTTTCGGGTTCAGGGTTTAGGATTATAAGCCCCAAATGGTGAAAAGTGTACCTACCCATATTCAGCAACTGAGACTATCCTTGGAGGGCTTCGCTAATCTGTCGGCTCAGGAAGCCCTACAATCCCAAAGCCCTAAAACCCTAAGATACTAAACCCAAAACCCAAAACCCTGAACAATCCTGCCGACAAGTGTCTTCATACTGATCACGCCTGGCCATGGAGCGGAGTCAAGCAAAGATGTATTGCTCCCAGTGGGCCGGCTTTCATTATGGCCCAAAACAAACATTTATCTAAGCACAAATCGGGATAGGGGTTTCCCACACGAACCCCCTGATAATGAAGCTCAATAAGGTAGGGATATCCCGAAAAACATGCCTATGCTTCTGCGCTGCTTGGGTCCCTGGTTCATACACCCCCAAATCTGCAAACAAGAAGAACCGCACCCCGCTTAATTACAGCAAGTCCTACGCCTTGGTCAAAGGATCGGAGAGGCCTGGGGAAAAGTGCTCAAGGGCTTAGGCAAGTAGGGTTATAGTTGGGGTTGTAAGTGCCCTAAGTAGGGCTATCATCTTTGTAACCTGATTTATGTATTTAACTATCTATATAAGCCTTTAAGTATAAGCCTCAGCCCTCTAAACTCGGAGTCCCAGACCAGCATAGGGCTTAGGGTAGGGTAACCAATCGTCTCGAACCCGCAACAAAAAATCGCGACACACTTCGGCCCAACTAGTGGCCCTACCATGGCTTTAACTGCAGCATAGCACCTACACCCTAAACTTTACACTTTAAACTCTGAGCCCGAAAAACCTAAACCCGATGTTAAGGCCTCAGCCTTTTCTGTCCCGGAGGAATTGGCTCTGAGACTTTCGCAGGGGGCACTGATCCAGCACATAAGAAATAGTCATCCCTGATGACCAAGAAGCCACCATCTAGTAAGGATCCCCCCCCCCATAATCCTGAAAAATATTGTAGTACACTTATAGTCATATGGGGCCTAGTATATACTAAGTGTTCGAGCCACTTCACTACAGTATTCCCTAAACCCCAAACCCTAAACCCTGAACCGGGCCTTTGTCAAGCCTGACGGGCATCTCAGCCTGCAAACCTGAAGCCCTGAACACCCTCTTGGCATAGGGCTTTAGCCCTAAACCCTTATCCTGGTGGGGCCTCTAGGTTTAGGGACGTCATACATTTTTGGGGCTCCGGATTTTGATGGTTGACGTTGAGGTTTCAAGGATCTTGAGGTTGACGGCTTCAGGGTCGAGGTAGGCCTATATACTCTAACACCAAAAAGCACAACAAACCGAACCAAAGCCCTCTTCGAACTATTTAGGCCTTCTGGCACCCCTAAACCCTTAACTTCCTAAACCCTGAGACTCAAACCCAAAGCTTCCTAAACCCTGAGCCTCAAACCCACAAGCTTCCTAAACCCTGAGCCCTAGACACTAAAGCAGGGACTTATATGATTTCCTTTGAAGGAACCCCCAAAAAGGTACAATACCCAAAATACCCACTATTGAGGACCCCAAAGGCTCTAGTAAAGGGTACTTGGGGGGGGTCCTGGTAGACCCTAACCCCGGGGCTCCAAGTACACAAATAGTACCTACTTTGGGGTCTAAAATCTATAAATAGTACCTACTTTGGGCTATTTGGAGCCCCGGGGTAAAGCAGCGAACGGCCTGATCGTGCAGGTGACGACCGAGATACCAGCGGCCCTGGCTTCCTCCGATGACGCCAAAAGGAGCTGTCTCAGCCAAAAAATCCTAAAGCACCAAACCACTAGGGTTTAGGGTTTAGGGTTTAGGGCTAAACCCCAGACGCTAAACCCTAAACCGTAGACCCTAAACCCTTCGAAAGGGTTTATGGGGCTTAGGACTTTTAAAGTCCTAAAAGACTTTAAAGTTCTAAACC